ATAAATAAGTACTATTGTGTAGTATACTTGTATACTTGTATAAATTATATTTGTGTAGCCTTTGTTTTTAGGGTTATTAACAAAGTTTGTGTACTCAGACCAGTAATATTTGGGGTCACAATTTTTTGCCATGAATATTTTGTGGGTCAGAAGATAAAAAGTTTGGGAACCACTGGTCTAGAGTGTCCCCCGATCCTCACACTGCTGGATATGAACCCCCATGAACCTGAAAGGAAGAAGCGGGCTGAGATGATGGATGGATGATGAAAACCATGACGTATCAAAACAATATAACCTGATTCTGAAAGTAAAAATATTTTCAGGACCTGTTAAACTGAACAAACCTCATTCCTGAAGTTGACGTGAGTTTCAGAAGTAACTGCTCCACACAGAACCAGCTGTGCTGCTGGAAGGACAGGGTGGGYGACCATGTTTTTGTTTTTGTGCTTCTCTGCTACCAAAATACCTCACAAACAACWGGATGAATTGAAAAAAAAAAACTTTCAGAAAACAGACAGATTTAAATCTACAGCTGTTTAATGTTTAGAGCAGGGGTRCACCAACTATTTCTGTGAGAGAGCCAAAATGAAAATCTATCGGAGGGCTGTGGACTAAATACGACAAAATAATACATGAAATACAAATACTCTAAGTTAATTCCTTTTTATTTTTTGTGATTAAGTGCGGTGGCCCACGTTTTATTAGTTTTATTTGTTTGTTTGTTGTTTTGCTCCATGCTCTTGGAAAAAGTTTGACATATGTTTGAGCAGCAAAGGTTCATGGGATATTTCATAAATTGATAAAATATGCGTGAAAATCTACAAGTGTGCTTAAATCTAATCTAACGACAGGAGATTGCAACCTAGTAATCAGGGCAACTGCTGGTGGGCCAAATCAAATGGCTTGGCAGGCCAGTTTTGGCCCGCGGGCCCCACTTTGGATGCTTCTGGTTTAGAGCCTCCCCTGTGCAAGATGGCCGCTGCAGCTCACTGAGCTCAGGCCTCTGAGCTTGTGTGGTAGTACCTGAGAGTCACCCTCTCTCTGAGTGTTGGAGCTCCTGCTCAAAGTTCATTTAAACCTTAATGACACCTCTGACTTTTATCAACAGAGGATGATAAAACTAAAAACTTTGTCCCGTCAGGTGGCAGGCATTCCATCGTGAAATGATGGAGACATTTCTTTTGTTGTTGTTGTGTTTTTCCTGACAGAATAAAACACATGAATGTACTGCATAACGAGCAGTATGAGGAGTGATGAGTATTTTATTGGTCCTGTTTGTGACGTCAGATGTGATCAGCTGTTTAACAGCAGCAGGAGAACTTCTGAACCTGTCAGGAGAAGAATTCACCTCTTCTAATTAAATTAATGTTGTGAAACATTAATTTTTAAATCGTTATTAGTTTTAGCTCTAACGTTTTTTAATTTTTTTTATTTTTTAGGATTGTTTCTAGTGTCCGTCCGTCCGTTTTCTACCAATTATCCGGGGTTGGGTCGCGGGGGCAGCAGCCTAAGCATAGAGACCCAGACTTCCCTCTCTCCAGCCACTTGGGCCAGCTCCTCCGGGGGAATCCCAAGGTGTTCCCAGGCCAGCTGAGAGACATAGTCCCTCCAGTGTGTCCTGGGTCTTCCTCTGGGTCTCCTCCCAGTCGGACATGCCCAGAACACCTCACCAGGGAGGTGTCCAGGAGGCATCCTAACCAAATGTCCGAGCCACCTCACCTTGCTCCTCTCGACGTGGAGGAGCAGCGGCTCTACTCCGTGTCCCTCCTGGATGACCGAGCTTCTCACCCTATCTCTAAGGGAGAGCCCAGATACCCTGCGAAGGAAACTCATTTTGGCCGCTTGTATCCACAATTTTATTCTTTCAGCCACTACCCAAAGCTTGTAGATAGATGAAGGTAGGAACGTAGACCAACTGGTAAATCGAGAGCTTCACCTTCTGGTTCAGCTCTATCTTCACCACGACAGACCGGTACAGCGCCCGCATCACTGTAGACGCAGCACCAATCCACCTGTTGATCTCCCGCTCCATTCTTCCCTCATT